CACAGGCATGAGCATGTGTGATTCCGAACAAGTGCGGGGGAGATGCGGAGACGCAGGTCGGTACAAGGAGACGACATGCGGAGCAAGTCAGGGTTTGCGGCCCGCAGCGGGTCTGGGAGAGGTCTGCCAGCTCTGATGCCGGGATTTCAGGTCCAGAGCCTTTCGTATCACAGGCGGAGGGGCCATTGTCTCCTGCTCTGTCCCAAAAGTCCCCGATGCACACAACTGACTTGGCTCTGAGGAAGAAAGTCGTAAAATACAAACGCGACTGCAACATTAGAGGAAAACTTGTAGCTATAAATGCCTACGTTAAAAAGGAATGAAGATCACAAATTAATAACCTACACTTCCACCTTAAGAAACCAGAAAAAGAAAAGCGAAAAGCCTACACAGGCAGAAAGACGGAAATCACACAGATAACAAAGGAGAGAACAGAGGAGAGGAAAAGCGGGACCTTTGAGAAGAGCCACAAACTCGACACACCTGTAGCGAGACTGACAAAAAAGGAGACTCAAGTCATTAAAAATCAGTAACGAAAGAGGGACATTTCTAAGATCTTACAGAAACAGAGCGACTCTTTAAGAAAATTACAGAAGAGCTGACCACAAGGACGGACTGTTTTGGGGCTGGCAGGGCTCGAATTGCTAATTCCCCAAACGGATCTGCAGATTCAGTACACTTGCTACCAAAATGCCAGCTGCTACTCTTGCAGAAATTCACACGTTGATCCTGAAACTCATATGGAAATGAAGGAGCTCAGGAGGGCCAGGGAGTCACGAGAAAGGGACCAAGATGGAAGACTCACACTCCCTGACTTCCGAACCTGCTGTGTGCTAAAGCACAGGGATGGGACAGGCACACAGGTCAGTGGAAGAGAACAGGGTCCACGAATAAGTCTGACCATTTACTATGACCCAGCGGCAGCTGGCGGGGGCAGAACGGACCTTTCCCCGAGTGGTGCTGAGACAACTGCATCTTTGAAAGAAAAGGAACCAACGCTGACCCCAACTGGACACCACACATAAGACATTAACTCCACACGTACTGAGGACCAAAAGGGGAGAACGAAACCCTAGAGATGTTGGAAGGAAAACGCAGCTGTCAATCTTCACGATCTCAGATCGGGAAAAGATCTCTTAGAAAAGGACCTAAACACAGGAAACAACAGATGGGGCCGATGGAGATTTAAGATTCTTGTATCACAAAGGACCTTGTTAAGAAAGTGAAGATGGACAACAGAATGACAGAAAACGTCTTCAAGTTATATATTTGACAACAGTCTAGTACCCAGAATACATGGAAAATTCTTACAACTTAATAATAAAATACTAATAACCCAATTAAAAAATCGTAAAGGACTTGAACAGACACTTCTTTGGAGATCCAGAGCCGGCCAACAAGGACAGGAAAGGACGGTCAACGCCGTTCAGGGAAACATGAGTCAACACCGCTTCACACCACTGGGAGGAGACAAGCAGACAGCTCGGGAGAGGGTCTGGGCTGAGCGAGGACACAGCAGCTGGAGCCCTCACACGCTGTGGGCCCTGCAGATGGGGAAGCCTCATGAGAAGCAGCCTGGTGCTTTCTCAGAAACTGAAACACAGTTAAGATACAACACACCGATTCTACCCCTCCACTATGTCCCCAAGGGAAATGAGAACTAGTCTCCTACTCACACGCGAATGTCCCAGTAGCGGTATTCACAACAGCCAAAAGGTGGGACCCACCCAACGGGGATCTGTGGGTGACAGGCCAGAAAATGTGGTGTACCCACACGGTGGACAGTGACACCCGCGACAGCGGGGATGACCCCTGAAGACCTCCCGCTCGCTGAGGGAAGCCAGTCACCGAGAACCACAGAGCATGTGATTCCATTCACATGAAACATCCAGAATGCGCAAATCCGTAGAAGCAGACCAGTGGTTGTCGGGGGCTGGGGAGGGGGGTGGGGTGCGATGGGGGAAGGGATTTCATTTTCAGGATGATGAAATGTTCTGGAACTGGACAGTGCTTAGGGGTAACCGTTGCACAACCTTGTGAATGTACTCAAAGTGTACCCTTTAAAACGCTGAATTTTATGGTATGTGAAGGGTATTTTTTAGTGAAAGAAAAATTGACGGGCAGAGGCGGGATGAAGAAAGAGAAGTCCGTGGTCTCACAGTCACTGATGACTCCCTGACTGGAGGACCTGAGCTGCTATGTGACTGTGGCACCCCCCTTCCTCCTCACTGCATCCCTGTGGGGGACGCCTCGGCCCTGGGATTCTGAACAAAGTGTACTCGTGTGTGTGATCGTATGTACCAAAGGATGTGCCAGCGTGCACCAGTGTGTGTACTAGCAGTGTGCTGGCACAGGGACTAGCGTGGGTCCATGTGCACTGGTGTGTACTAGTGTGTGCTCATGCGCACTAGCCGTGTTCGTGTGTGCTGGTACGGGTGCTAGTGTGTGCCGGTGTGTGCCAGCAAGTGTACTAGGTGTGCTAGTGTATCAGTGTTCTGTACCAGCATATACTCGTATGTATGTTAGTGTGTGGTCATGTGTGCGCTAGCGTTATGCTAGTGTGAGTTAACGTGTGCTGGTGTGTGCGCTGGCGCGTATACGAGTGTGCGTAAACACGCTCGTGTGTGTGCTGGTATGCAAATGTGTGTGCTAGCACGCACGCGAGCACGTGTACTAATGTGTGTGCCAGTGTGTATACGAGGTGCGTGCTGACATGCGTGCTCATGCGTGTACCCTGGTGTGTGCCGGCATGTGTGATAATGTGGGTGCTGGTGTGTTAGTACTTGTGCTAGGGTGTCCTAGCGTCCGTAGCGGCGTGCGCACTAGCGGCGTGTTAGTGCATGTGCACTAGCGTGTGTGCTGGTGTGTGTGCTAGCGTGCATGTGGCGTGTGTACTAGTGTGCACTAGGAAGAAGCGGGATTACACCACAAAGATGCAGGAACCAAGCAAATCCCTGGTGCTTTAACTAAGATGACTCCACAGGGAAGTGTCTGAGGTGCTCCTGTGGTTGGCAGGGACAGCGTGGGCGGGGGATCCTGGGGCTGGGCGGGGACAGGTAGGGACAGCGTGGGCGGCAGAGACTCTGGGGGTGGGCGGGGACAGGCAGGGACAGTGTGGGCGGGGGGGATTCTGGGGGTGGGTGGGGACAGTGTGGACGGCGGAGACTCTGGGAGTAGGAGGGGACGGCGTGGACAGCGTGAATGGTGGCTGGGGACAGGTGGGGATGGCAGAGTGTGTAGCTGTGATGTATGACTTAGTCTTCTGCTCCGGGTGCTACACCCGTGGTTCTCCGATCAGGATGACAGCTACTCCTGGCCAAATGGTTCACAGCCGCCCTCCATCAGGCAGATGTGTGGCTGGACGGGGCAGCCCTCAGGACAGGGGTCCTGGCCCCCCTCTCCCGGCATTCACCAGCCTCAGCTCTCTGCCCAGCCTGGTCCGCTCTGTCCCCGGGCCACTGAAGCACATTCCTTATTCCATGTAAGGCTGCTTGTAAAAACCCTTAAGTTGTTTTGGAAGAAGGGACAGACCAGTAGGTGAACAAGAAAACTGGCGACTCTCTGCTCACTGCGACAGGGTCCGGGGGCAACTACGCTAAGAAGAGTGGGAGCACCTAAGGGTGAAGGCCAAAGCTCGCTGTGTCCCACACGGCACCCCATGCTACACGGCGTCCCACACACGTTCCCACGTATGTCCTCCCGCGTGTCCCATGGTGACAGCCCTGTAGCCTCAACGGACCAGAGGCCACCCTCAGCCAACAGATGGTGAATCCGAACAGCGCGGTGGGTGGCGGGGCAGAGCCCTCTGGGGGTGGCAGACGACGGTGGAAACTCCTTGCACCGTCCCCACCCTCTGTGACGGGACGGAGGGAGCACAGTGCTAAGGCAGAGCCGGCACTTGAGCCCAAGAAAGGGGCATCACCCAATCTCACTGAAGCCCTTGGTTGCCAGACACGGTGAAGACGGGAAAGCATCTGTCCAAAAGACGAGGAAAGCTGGAGCACCTGGTGTCTCATGGGTCCTTAACACCAGAGGCTGGTTTCTGCACACTTCATGTCCTCTTCTCAGGAGTCCCTCCCGACGGCCCTAGACTTCCGACACCCCGGCAGCCGCCCGCAGGACCCCAGCAGCCGCAGGTACTGCCAGCAAAAACTGCAGGGCAGGCAGCCTGGGAGCGGGAGCCCGGCGGGGTGTGCACTTTCCGAGGCCTCGCTGGGCTCAGAGGGCAAGGACCCTGCACACGTGTGTGAGCTCGCGCACGTGTGCACCACCCGAGACTCCTCAGCCTCCTCCAGACGATCTACGGGATTGTGGACCGAAAAGTCAAGAGCACACCACAAGGTTCGGAGACCAGGTGTAGACCACACGTAGACACAGGCACAGCCACATGGTTCGGAGACCAGGTGTAGACACGGGCACAGCTGCTCACACTCAGCAAGCGTGACCGGGGGAGGAGCTCCGGATTCTGGGAGGGGGCTCCTGAGTTCAGGCCGCAGGGCTGCCGACCGGCCTCGCACATGCCACCTGACAGTCCCCTTATCGGGATGGCCCGGGCGCACGCAGTACCTGTGTGTGAACGTCTCCCTGACCACGGCTGCTTGAAGGAGGGTGTGAAGACGACACGCCCGCCCTGCCAGAGAAGCATCTTTGTGGGGGATCCGCGACTCCAGAGTTCTGAGTCGTGTGTTTTTTTTTTTTTTTTTAGATTTTTTTTTTTTTTATTTATTTATTCGACAGAGAGAGATCTCAAGTAGACGGAGAGGCAGGCAGAGAGAGAGAGAGAGAGAGAGAGAGAGGAGGAAGCAGGCTTCCTGCTAAGCAGAGAGCCCGATGTGGGACTCGATCCCAGGATCCTGAGATCATGACCCGAGCCGAAGGCAGCGGCTTAACCCACTGAGCCACCCAGGCGCCCCATGAGTCGTGTGTTTGAAGAACGACAGCCCGCCCCCCGCCGGGGCTCAGAGTCACTGGTCCCGAGAAGACTGCTGCCCGTGTCTTACCGCGTGGCCAGCTTGTGGCAGATGGCGCCCGTGTCGGTGATGACCTCGCTCAGCCTCAGCTCCAGGTGGACCTTGCCCTGGAAGACACAAGAACAGAGGGTAATGAGGGGACGGCCACGCGCAGGGGGCGCTCCCAGCAACTCCGCTCAGAAACGTGAAGCTGCCTGACCCCACGTGGCAACCCCAGCACCACCCCACCCTCACTCAGATCCCAGGGCCGGCCGAGGGCACGGCTCCCCCAGAACGCTGCTTCAGAAGCCAGCGGCCAGACAGTGCGAGGGAAGGTCCTCAGGACACCGCCTCCCAAGCACATCCGCTTGCTTGCTTTACGTTTTGTCCCAGCCTCCGACGCTGAGCCCGCGTGCAGGTACACACCGCTCTGGACCATCTCATCCTTCTGTCTGCGTGTGAGGCCCGGACCCTAGGTGGGGGGTCTCAGTCCTGGGCCCCAGACAGGAAGTTAGTGCTCATGGATGCTTCTAAGGAGACGGGAGCAGAGGGGACTGGAATTTGGAGAACAAGACCAGTGCTGTGTTTCTGCCTGCATCTGCGTCTGCGTCTGTGCAAAGGGCGGATCAGCTGCAGGATCCAACCAGGTCACCATCAGGGGTCAGGGGTCGGGGGGGTGGGAAGGGGCTTCAAGGAAGAGGAACCTGCTCCCTCAGAAACATCCAACAGCAGCAGGCGTGACGCACTGACGGTTTATAGGAGAACGCACTACAACGTGAAAATGAGCACTTCTCTTAAACAGGCTCAGACCAGCATGGAGCCCAGCGCGGGGCAGAACTCACAGCCCCGAGATCAAGACCTGAGCTGTAATCAGGTCAGACGCTCAACTGATTGAGCCGCCTTGGAGCCCAAAACCGTCTTTTTTACTGGACAAGAAGGCTGACTGGGAGCACCTCCAAGGTCCTTTCCGACCAAAACTTCGTGACTCTGCAGCTTGGGGAGGAAAACTGCTTGTCCTAGAAGAATCCAGGCCCAAGATGGCGGGCCAGGCGGCTGGGCTGGAGGAGTGCGGGCAAGACCCCTCGGCGGAGTCCCCTGGCCTCCTGAGTTTGCTCCTCTGAACGTGGCGGCCACGGCCCTGCTCTTCCTGCAGCTTCTGCACCCCTGGACCTCTGGCTCGCCCAGGACAGAAACGGGAGACCTGACGCGTGTGGGCGAGACAGGCACTGAGGCCCCGGGGAGCCCATCTCTCCCCTGCTGCAGGCAAGGCTGGGTGTGGCCCTTTCTGGCCCTTCCTTCCACAGCAGGACCAGTAGCCTCAGAGGGTGCGGCAACATCTCCTGGATGGTAGGACTGGACCAGCATCACACCCGTGTGACCCTGGGCAACACCCCGTGTCCAGAGCACAGACTGAGGATCCACCAAGGGCTCTGAGGGGTTCCTGCCCCACGCGGCAGGGCTGCCTTCAGAGGGACGCACTGGCCAGGAGCAGCCGGCGGCCCCAGGGAACCAGGAGCCCGTCGCACACAGCCCAGGGAGTGTCGGCCCCGGAAGGCCCCTCCTGGAATGGGGGTGCCAACGGCAGTCTCCCTGATGCATCACGACCCTCTGGGCCCGCCCAGCCCATGCAAGGGGCCCTCAGCGTCCGCCAACCCTGCCGCAGGAGCACACACAGCCCTGCGGCCCGCAGTACCCCCTCACGCGGCTGGGCCAGGCTCCGGGCTTCCCCAAGCATCACACGGGGCAGGCGCCGCCGTCCTTTGGCTCCGAGGAGGACGCTGCAGCTGGGCGGCACACAGCCTCCCTCTATCTACAACCCAGTGCCAGTGAAGGCTGCAGATCAAGGAGGACAGCAAAGGCCTGTCCACACGGGCTCCTGGAAAGCCTGTGTCCTCCAGTGGTGTCCTCCTGCGCGCTGGGCCCGGCTCTCTTCTGCCTTCATTTTCAGGCTGGCCACAGCCGTTGCAGGGACAGGGCCCTGTCTATTTTCAGTGGGCTCTGAGAAGCAAGAGAGCCTGTTGGGCCAGACGGACCCCCACCGTGGACGACCTGAGGCGCGTTTCCTGTCCCCCACCGGGAGGAGAAGGCACCCGCAGCAGCGGACCCCATGGCTGCCGCTTCCTCCCGAGGGCAAGCCCTTGCCGGCGGAGGGGCAGACACTCTGCACTCAGGCCCGGGGCCACTACTTTCCACAGATTTGGGAGAGGAGAGTGGGCAGTGACCCTAACCACCCAGATGCCGCCTGGCATAGAGAGGACGCCCCCACCCCCACAGGCGCCCCAATACGGCTGCGGCTCAGAAGTTCCCACGAGTCGCTGCGCAGTGGACGGAGTGTCTGGGCGTGCCCCGTGCCCTGTGGGTGACACGCCAGCTTGCTCACAAACAAGCCAGCCACAAACGCCGACATCCGACACCTGAGGGGCAGGGTGCTGGGGCCGGGGCCACACCCGCCACCGCAGGGCGGCAGGAAATGCGGGTTTTCCAGCTCAGCCTCTGCACAGCTTCAGAACCCACGGAACTGCCCTCTGCCCTCGAAGGCTCTGGCCCCGCGGTCCCAGCCCCAACGTGCTAAGCTGGGGGGGTGGGGGGGCGGCACCCAGAGCCCAGGCGTGGCGTCAACACTCAGCTTCTCTGAGGAGAAAACAGTCTTAGGCTGGTGCATTGAAAAAGGCTGATTTGGTAGCTTTTCCCATTCTTACTTAAGGTGAATGACAAGCAACTGGGAGGCGAGCCCCCGCCCGCCCCCGCTCCGGTGGCCGCCTGGGGGCTCCCCGTCTTGCGGCACAGACAGCGGCCCGCAACGGGAGGTGCATCACACGGCGTCCGCTCTCGGGAGAACGGAAAGGAAGCGGGAAGTCAGGGCAGAAAGACAGCTTCATCACCCCAGTATCTGAAGGTGAACCAGCATACTTCCAAAACGACCAAACCCAAAACGTCTCAGGAGAAACTGAGAGATATTTTTAGCTCATTTCTTTTCATAAGTGAAAATGAAAATAAAACTCATCACAGTACGTGGGATGCCGCAAAAGCAGTGCTTACGGGGACTTTACAGCAGTGGCCGCGCAGGTCGGAGGAGAGATCTAACCTCACTAATGTAAGGGATCTCAGGGCGCCCGGGGGCTCTGTTGGGGAAGCGTTTGCCTTCAGCTCAGGTCATGATCTCAGGGTCCTGGGATGGAGTCCCGTGTGGGGCTCCCTGCTTGGCGGGGAGTCTGCTTCTCCCTCTGCCCCTCATCCCATTCGTACATTCTCTCTCACTCTACCAAATAAATACGTAAATTCTCTAAAGAAAATAATGTAAGGAGCCTAGAAGGAGACCAAACTAAATCCAAAGTGAGCAGAAAAAAGACATTACAGAATCATAAAATGGATTAACCTTCTAGACAAGCTAACTAAGAAACAAATAACAGAACGAGAGAGGGGCCATCTCTGGTGACCCCACGGGGCCACCCTGCAGGACTCTGCAGGCGGGACCCCATCCTCTGCCCGACCCAGGGGGCGCACAGCCTCTGACCCGCGTCCGCTCACCAGCTGTAGCAAATGCACCACGGGATGTCAGCCACAGGGGCCAGGTGGGGCAAGGACATGGGAGTTCCTTCCATTTTCTACTCAATTTTCTGCAAACATAAAATTGCTTGAAAAATAGGTTTAGTAACTTAAAGAGAAAAAAGCACCAATCCTGCTCACTTCGGCAGCACACATACGAGAAAAGCACTGGTGGCTCCCATACATTTTTCTCAGTAAAGCTTCAGATCCTGGCCTGCAGAGAGGGTCTGTGGTCACAGCAGCAGGGCCCACCGTCCCTGGGCCATCAAGCCCTGGTCTGCATGGGCCTCAGGGCCGGGGTGGGGGTCAGTGCACAGGGACCCAGACCGCTGAGCACTTGGACCTTGGCTCCAAGAGCAGCAAGACGACCGTGAACACCGAAGACGAGAGAATAGGTCAGAAATGATGCGTGGAGGAGGACAGAGGTCCAGCCGGCCCTTGCCTCCCTCGATCCCCTAAACCCGCAGAAAGATTCAGAGCTGGGTCCTCGTATATGCAGACAACTACAGATGTAGCCTGTGGGGAAAGACAGGAGGACCGTCAGACACACAGGGCAGACGCGGCTCCCAGAGCTCCCCGTCCCGCTACGGAAGGTTTGCTGTCAGAACTCACGGCCCTTCCCAGCAGGTCTACTAAAACAGAAGAGCTCACAGCAGAGCTCAGCCGGGCGTTCTCGGAGGAGCCGGGGAAGGACCTCAACACAGCAACCGATTCTTTTTAATAAAGTGATTTTCCAGAGACCTTTAAAAATATCGATTACAGAAGGAAGAAGAAGTTCTTTAAATCACATTTTCCCACCGCAGTGACTCCATCTCTCACTGGCCCCAGTTTTGTGACACTTTCTTTCTGACATACGCCTTTCACTGTCAATGACCGAACAGGTGGATTCACGAAACCATATGCCATCCTCTGCCCTTCTGAAACCGTAAATGTGACATTTCAGGATGAAAAGATAGCTGTAGGGAAAGACTGTCATGCACTGTTCAAGGCAGCCTGAACCCAGGGCAGTTCTGCTCCCTCTGTGGGACGGCCACTTCCTCAGGCGTCACTCTGAGAAGGAGCCACCCGCACAGGGCCCAGAACTCGGCAGGCCACCCGAGGCCACACTGTCCCTCCTCCTGTCTTCAGAGTCCTGGCAACACCCACTCTCTGTTCACGACTCAGAATTCGTATTCCTAGGACACCGGCTGGAAACAGCAGCCCATCTCAAAGATGGTAGGAATCAGGCTCAGAAGGACAAGGACCTTGTCCACAGGCGCACGAAACACATCAGGTGGACGCAGCCCAAATATCACACAGTGTACGACCAGCACACACCCCGTTCATAAGTTTTGTGGTGGCAGAGTGGTTCTGCATCTTGACTGCGGCGGTGGTTACACAGACCTACACACGTGACAGAACGCACAGGCCATGCGTGCACGGTACACGTGCACAGGCGCACACACGTAGTACACATGCAGGAACACGTGCACATGCGTGACAGGTCTGCCCAGGTGCATGCACAACACACGTGTGGTGAGCCCGTGCATGTGTGCACATGTGTGGTACACGGGTGCACGCGCGTGGTACATGTCTGACACAGGCACACATGTGGAATACACATGCATCGGTGCACAGCTGTGCACGCTCGCACACTGGCACGTGTGCAAACACGTAAAACTGGAGACCTTCACGAGGTCTGTGGATCACAGGAATGTCCGTGCCCCGGCCATGGCGCGAGCCGGATGCTGCCACCGGGAGAACAGGTGGAGGAACACGGCCTTTCCTCATTGTGCTCTCTTGAGGTAGAAACAGGAGAGCACACGATTTGCTCATTGCTCTTCCCTGTGCACTATGTTTTGCTGCTTCCCATGAAACTGAAGCCATTTCAAAATTCCAAGTTAAGTTTACGAACAAGGCGAGAACAAAGACAAGTCACACGTGATGTGACATCCGATTTTGATCACAGGGGACAGTGTGGCGAGCGTGGTAAGGACACTGGGGCGGGCTGCCAGAGGGCACACCCACATGCTCATCACAGCGCTGGGGTTGTCCCCCTGCAGAACCAAAGGGACGGGAATGGCCCCAGAACAAAAGGCAGGAATGCCTCCTGTCACGGCGCCCACGACCCCCAGCGCCCTCCTCCTGCAGACTGAGCGGGCACGGCCCACTGTGCCGTCATCGCTACGGCAACTGCTCTTGTCCAGGCCCAGGCGCCGATCCCGTGGGAACTGTCACGTCTGCTCATTTCTGCAGCACACGTGGCCCCATGGCCAGAACTCCGTGTGCGGCACGTGACGACGTCTCTGTTTGGCTCAGCTCCTCAACCTTTCCCTAGCGCTGCTTCTCTCTCCGAGTGTGTGGCTTGATCCCAGGAGCCCCACGTGCTCTGCCCTCCCCCCCAAGCTCTGCTGAGCCCGAGGGTCTCCCAGGAAGTGGAGGGCAAGCAGCTAGACGGGTGTCTGGGGACAGGCGCAGCAGGTGGGGTGGAGGCAGGCCTCATGGGCCACTGACGTCGGGGCTTCTGCTGTATCGAGCACCATCTGGTACTCACAGAGGAGGAAACGGGCTTGCTGGGGACCACTGCTGGTGCTCTGAGCCTGGCCTGCTGGTGCCGGGCCCTGGGCTGGCTCTCGCACCCTGCCCACGCCCTGGCAACTCACAGGACCACGGATGAATATCTCGTGTGATGTCAGGGCACTGTGCTGTGGGTCAGGGCTCCCGTCATGGGCTCTAGACACCAGCAGGGGGTGAGGAGCTCGGCTGGGAGCCACACAACCAGGCTCGCCCTCCCAAGAGGTGTCCCAGATGCTGGGCATGGGCAGTGCCCCCAACACGGGGAAGGGAAGGTGGGAACTGGGGTCTCCCGGTCTCCTCTGCCGGGGGAGGCCCGCTCCGCTGGACGGGGGGGGGGGGGGTCAGTCCCAGGGGATACACGGCCCAGGAGAGCCCCGGGGATGCTTCAGACGATGGGAGCTCAGGGGCTGGTCACTTCTGTTCACTGCAAACGCTCATCCGCTGCGTGCAGGGGCTGGACGTGGGGGCAGGCCCCTCTGCCTCCCGCATCGCTCCCAGCCCAAGCCTCACTTCAATTATGGGTAATTATTGTCCTTGTTGTATACTTTTAAAGCCGTTTCCATCACGCATGACAAAGTGTGGCGATAACCAAGAGAACACACAAGGCCAACAGGCCTGTGTCGGTGTCAGAGGACTTGCCAAGTGCCATCCCGTGAGGACCGAAGTCCCTCCACCCCACAGGGCCCCGTGGGGCTCACCTGCACTTCTGAGTCGGCGTCCACGTGCTGCAGCTGGAACCAAGTGTCCCTGTTATGGTACTTCGGCAAGTCTTCCTTCTGGATGGCCACCTTCCCTGCAACACAGACACAGAAGACCAGCGATCACGAGGCAGAAGAGATCCCCCAGAACACGCGGGACTCTCTCCACGACTGGTGCCCGCTGCCCGCTGCCAACACCACTGTCTTCCTTCCAGGAAGACCGCCAGCGGCAATGTCTCATCGGGAAGGCCTCTCGCGGGACCTGGCTGGGGCCAGAGCCCGTTCTGCTCCGTACGAGGTTTTAGGAGAAAAAGGCTGCCATTCTGTCGGGTCCTTGGGAGCTCAGCACAGCACACCCCAAAATAGGCCACTTTGGGCTGGAGGCAAATGAGAACCAGCAGGTGCGAAAGAGGCCCTCCCAGAGCTGCCCCCACACGGAACTGGTGAGGATTGAGGGCTGCCGTGGACCCTCTCCCAGGGGGTGTTCCGTGAAGAAGTCAGCTGCCCAAGATGGTCCTGCACAGACGAACCTGACCGCACTCACCCCCCGTGCTCGCTCCCCACAGCCTTCCACCCTGGGAAGCCTAAAACCTCTCCCCTTGTCGGGTCGCTTCTCTGGGTGTGGACTGCTCCTCTGCCCAAGTCCGGCCAGCTCTTTGAGGTCCTGGTCAGGGAGATGTCTCCCGCCTGCCATGACCTGCAGGCGTGAAGAAACTATTCTCTCCTCCCGATGTTACAGGCCCTGCCGGAGAACCTCAGTGGGTAGAAAGCAAGGTTACCTCCCTGATGGGTTTCCGTCTTGTTCCAAGAACTCAGCCGGACGACCTCTGCCCTCCAGACCCCGGGAGACCTACCCATGAGGCACAGATGGGCTTCAGATGGCAACATGTGTACAGAAAATCCATTCCATGGGCAGAGAGGGCTGGGCCTGGGGAGTTAGGCCGACGGACTGACTCCCACTGTCACTGCTGCCAGCCCCCATGTCCCTGCTGGTGGAGCCACCATTTCCATCCCTCATACTCTCCAACGGAAGAAACCTCACACTTCCCAGCCACCAGACAGCCTTGGGAAGGACCCTGGGATCACCCCACGAGGGCTCGTCGGTAAGGTGAGTACTTGTGTCCCCCCTGGGGTGGATACAGCCCATCAGCAGCCCCAGCGTCCATACCGCTGCCCACCTGGACCTGCCACTTCGGCTCTCACCTCCAGGAGCCATCTGGAACCAGAGCCTCCGACGCCACAGACTGCAAGACCCGTTAAAGCCACTGCTCGAAGCTGGCAGGTGGGCATGAAGGGAGGAGGCAGAGAGCAAGAGAGGCAGGTACAGACAACGTGGCAGGCACAGTCCACGGAGGACACCCCACAGACATGCACAGAGAAGCCCAGCCTACAGGCCACGTGGGATTTCCTTCAGCAGAGCCACGTCACAGGGCCGATGGCTCCCGTAGGACCCCTGCTTCTGCCGGGCCCCAGTCCTCCCCGCCCCCAGCCCTGGCCTCCCCAGCACACCCCCAGCAGAGCGAAGACTGTCCTTCCTCTCCTGGCAGCTCCTGTAACCTCCATCCTTTTGCCCCCGGTGGGAATGTGGTTGTTAAGTCTCAAGGGAATAAAGCCACATGAAAAAAATTCTTGGAATTGAATTGGGCAACATATTTCACTGAAAAAGATAAAGAAATCTTCAGACTGTGATTCGTTCGGCTGGATAAGAGGATTACATTTGAGATTAGAAATGTTAAGTCACTGAACTGTTTTTATGAGCTTTAGCTGAAATAGAGAGGAACTGCATGTTTAACGTTTATATGAATCCCACAACTTATATATCATTACTTAGTATACAAATGTGTACTTTTTAAACACATATGTTAGTGTTTCTAAATGTTGTTCGGAGAGAACACCTGACCTCTGGACTATAATAACTACTTATATGTATGATGAACTATGATAACTACTTGTCCCAGTCTATCCGAGTGACACCCAAAGGTCACCAAACCACTCTGGGCCTCACTGTCTCACTTGGACAGAGGTGGTGCCGCCCGCCTTCACACAGGAAAACCCCATGCCTTCCAGGTCAGCTCAGAAGAGAGAGTGTGCCAAGGAGCACACCAGAGGCAGGTGACGTGGGGACCAGCCCCAGGGCATGGCGGTAAAAGCTGCAGGAAGGCTGGCTAAGGTCAGACTCAGTGAGAGACGGACAGATGTCCCCCGAGACAAGAAGGGGTAGAGACGCCTGTAGAACGGGCTCCAGTTCCAGCTGGTGTCCTGCGAGGGCCTGGCCACAAGGAAAGGCCAGGAAGAAAGGAAAGGAAGAAATAGAGTCTTACTCACAGAACCTACAGGAAAATCTACAAGAAAAGCTAGCTCAGGTGTGTTCAGCAGGACTACAAAATACAAAGCCCATACACAAAATCAGTCATTATTTGTGCATACAAGCTATGAAAATAAGGACTGAAATTAAACAACAACAACAACAGAAGCTCCACAAAAGGATGCTTTGATGGCTTGTGCCACTGGTGTGCTAACTTAAGAAATCTTCATCTACCCCATCGAAAACATAACATACATAGGAAAAATGTAAATTACATATGCCAGATGCGTATGCTGAAAACATCACAAACACTGATGAGAGAGATTTAGGAAGACCAAGCACATGCCCCACTGGAGGGTCTGAAGACTCCATTTTGTTAAGACGTTAATTCTCCCTCGAATTAATCTATATACCTGTGTAATCTCAGTGGTTTTGGAAATTGAGAAGCTGATTAAAAAATATAAGTAACAACTGAAAGAATCTAGAATAGCAAAACAAGCTTGGAAAAGAACAGAGTTGGCTCACACCACTGACTTGAGCCCAGCAAAGGCCACAGGTGCTAAGGCCACGGGTATCAGAGCAAGGAAAGGGGTACAGGTGGGTGCAACAGGCTAGGAAAGCCAGAGAGGGCCCAGACGCATAAAATTGGGTGATTTTCAAGAAGGCACCAAGGTAATTCAATGGAGAAAGGATAATTTTGTGTAAAAAACGCTGGTATAACTGACATTTATAAGGAGAAAAATGAACTCTGTGTCAGACGTACAATTCATCTGACAGAGATCTAAATGTAGGAGACAAAACCATAAGCTTTCCTTTAAAAAAAAAAAGAGAGAGAGAGAGAGGATAGAAGAAAACTCTATAACCCTGGAGTAGGCAAAGATTTCTTAGCCATGACACCAAAAATACAAGCTATAAAAGAATTCTGACAAGCTGGACTTCATCAAAATTGAAGAATTCCGGGCTTTGAGAAACACTGGTAAGAAAATGAAAATAACAAAGAGGAAGAACATATTTGTAAAACAAGCATCTCATGGAGAACTTGTATCCAGAATACACAAAAAACTTTTAAAACTCCATAATAAAACTATTAAAAGGACAAAACATTTGGACAATTAACCAAAGAACAGGTACAGACAATTAACAAATGAAAACATGCCCAGCCTCATTCCTCACCAGAAAATGCAATAAAAGAGTCAAGATGGCGGAGGAGTAGCAGACCGAGATGACACCGGCTCGTAGGCGATCAGCTAGACAGTTATCAGACCTTCCGAACACTGACACACTCAACAGGAGATCGAAGAGAAGAGGAGCAGCGATTCTAGGAACAGAAAATTGACCACTTCCTGGAAGGTAGGACGTGCAGAGAAGTGAGTCCAAAGCGATGGGAAGATAGACTGTGGGGAAGGGGCCAGCTCCCAGCAAGCGGCGGAGCAGTGGAGCACAAGATCCAAACTTTCAGAAGTCGGCTCCACTGAGGGATGTTGCTCCAGAGGCTAGGTGAGGGGTGGAGCCATTGTGGGGACAGCGTGGTCTCAGGTCTCGTGGGGTCACACAAAGACCCGGGGTGTCTGAGTTTGGCAGACCTTGCAGGTGTCAGAGCAGGGAAGCTGGCTGCAGAGACGGAGCCAAGGAGTGGGCTCTCAGCTCAGGGTTACCTTAAACTGTGATCCATGGCACAGTAAGGCCACTGCTTTTTGAGCAGGGACTCCACAAGTGGCAGATCTGGGGAAATGCCCCTGGAAGAGTGGCAGGGATCTGCTGGGTTTGGAGACTCCAAACGGGGCTGTGTGCCAGAGACAGAGACGCTTGGTCACAGGCTAGATGAGCTCCGAGTGCAGCCAGAGACCAGGGAGATGGGAGGGACTGACTGCTTCTTTCTGAGGGTACACTGAGGAGTGGGGGGGCCCAAGCTCTTGGCTCCTCTTGCCAGAGAGTGGGAGGCCAGCATCTTCATTCCCATCCTCCAAAGCGAAACGAAAGCATTCAGGGAGCAAAAGCTCTGAGAGTGAACCCAAGCAGATTACTTAGCCTGGCCCCTGGCAAGGGCGATGCTGTTCCACCTCTGGCAAAGACATCTGAGAATCACTGCAACAGGCCCCTCCCCCAGAAGATCAGCAAGAACATCCAGCCAAGACCAAGCTCACCGATCAAGGAGAACAGCGGAATTCCAGAGGAGGGGAAAGCAACACACAGAATTCATGGCTTTCTCCCCAGGATTCCTTAGTATTGCATAGATAATTAACTTTGTTTCATTTTATTTTTTCTTATTTAATTTTTTTAACTTTTCCTCTTTCCTCTTTTAACGTTTTTTTTTTTTTTAACTAGTTTACCTTAATAATACCTTTCTAAAAAAATGTTTTTAAACCTTCATTATTGTGGTCATATTTAATCCTTCATTTTAACTAGCTTTATTTTTTGTATACACATAGGGTTTTCTTCTAAAAAATGTTCGGATACAATGTCTAATAGATCAAAATATACCCTAATCTAGCACATGGCTTTTGATCTAGTCTCCAGCCTGAGCAAATTCTCTCCACTTTCTTTTTCTTTCTTTTTCCAACCAACTTATCAATTCCTTTTTTAGAATTTTTAAAAAATTTTCATCTTTACAGTCATATTCTATTCCTTCATCATGTTTACCCTTAGTTTTGTATATATGTAAGTTTTTCTTTCTTTAAAATTTTGGGAGGTAGTTTCTTCTAAGAGACCAAAATTATACCCAAAATCAAGTGGGTGGCTCTGTTCTATTCACCAGTACAATATATATATATATATATATATATATACATA